AGGGACAAAATACTAGCAAATTCTAAAATTCATGTAAATATTAGAAAGATTCTTCTTTTCACTCTGGTCTGCTGATAATGTAACTTGTAATGAAATAATAAAAAATCGTACATTATATTAGAAAAGAATGCAAAATATAAGCATTTTTTCATTAGTGGTCTCAGACTTTTGTATCCCACTGTATTTCTAGACATTTCGATTTTATTTATAATGCATATTATTATAAAATGCTTGAAACGAGCAAAATTATTTGAAATGGAACATGGAATGAATATTTAACTAGATATAATAACTTGTCTAGATGTGTGTTATAGGCTGTTTCACATGCCAAGATACATGTGTATGCAAAAATTTAGGCACCCTTGGTGAATTTAACTTTTTTTAAAATTTTATTTTACATAAATGTTAACCTGGCAAATAAATAGAAATTGTGCACTAAAATGAAAAAAGCCATATTTAAATCCCTATAGAGGATGTGTTACCATATTTTCAATCAGAAAATCAACACAAAGTGTAATTTGACCAGGAGTGTTCAAACTTTCACATACCGCAGTCATTGTTTGCAGTGGTGATGCTTCGTTTTTGAAAAGCTTCTGCAGTGTTCAGTCCCCACAGCTCCTCTGAGTATATAAGGTAGTGTTACTTTAACTGCACTAACTTGCTTGAAGTAAGCTTTAGGCTCGCTCGCTCTCCATGGCAGTGATTTGAACTCCCACACAGATCTCATTAAGTAAGCTCCTTTAAAGCCAGCTACATTGTTCACTGATTGTGTTTTTCAATGCACATGACGAATGTAGCTACTGAAGACGCAGAGACTGTTCCTAAACGCCTCTATGATTGTTGACAAAGTTTAAAAAGAGTTGTGTCAGTGGAGGATGTTTTGTATGTGAGTTTACAGGATAATTTGAGTGTTTGTAACACTGAATGTCATATGATGTACACTTTATGGACAGCAGCTATGGTTTTTCATAAGATATTAACACCTTGGACCTACTGACGGTTTAAGCCCAGTCCGTGTATAAAAGACTGTTTTCAGTGACTTTCCGTTGATGTTAGAGTCAGACTGGCTCTTAGAGGCCTTTACGTCTGTAAGATGATGTGGGACGATATTTTATTCTTGTTTGTTTTGAATAATGTGTAACGTCTGCCTGTAAGAAATTACTGTCGTCACCTCTTTGGCCCAGTAGCACTCTGTACATTCCAGACAATGTAGTGCTTTTTCTACATTTCTACATTTTTGGGAGAATCTTGTTAATGGAAGTATTCTACCTCTCTGAAATCTACAGATAACAGCTGTAAAATACTCTCTTGCATATACAGTATATATAAATATATATATATATATATATATTTTTGGAGCAGTATATAAAGAGCGTTTAACTATGCTATTGTATGTAGATCAGTATTTTGCTTTTCATGATTGCATACAGTGAACGGGCACAGTGAAAGGCAAAAAAATGTGTAGGTTTTAAAAGGAAGGAACAAAATAAAAGACTAATTTTTGACATTCTATGCAAAAGTGGTGTATTGTGTGTTCTTGATTTGCTTTTGGGAATGAAATGCTCTACAGTGCTGTGTAAAAGACCATCCATCATTTATTTATTTTCCAGTCAAAACGACTGAAGTTGTTTAGTCTTTCAGGAGACTCAGTTTCTGGTTTCCAAAGATATTTGAAGGGAAATTTATCCACGCTTCCAAAGTTCAGTCGTAAACGTTGGTTGCATTTGCTGCTTCTTATGATCCAAGTGTTCTTAAACTCATTCAATGAAGTTGAGGTCTGGACACTGGGGTGGTCAGTCCATTGTTCTGAGAACACCAGCAGCTTCTTTATCTTTCCTTTTCTCAGTAGCCACATTTACATGTATCCTAATAATCCAGAAAAAGTTCAATCAGAATAGAATACGTCCATATATACACCTCAGTCGGAATAGACTAGTCCGAACGAGGCCATTCAGAATACAATTTCTGTCCGATTGAATGAGGTGGGTAATCCTGTAAATAATCCGTTAAATAGAAAAATAATAGCCATGTAAACGGCTCATGTACGTTCATGACGTCAGTGAGCGAGAACAGCCAATGAGCTGCTCAGCTCGCCAACCAATCAGCACTCAGTAGCAGCAATGCTAGCATTGTACTTCACAAAACCCGTTTGCTGTCGAAAAAAAGGAAATATATAGGTGAATTTTCTTTGCTTTTTTAGTGAAATACATCCTTCTGCTTCCTAAAATTGAATAAAATTGAATTCTGGGTAAGTGATTAGAAAATATTTTTCGTTTTTAGGCGTTGAGCTCCATTCACCCCCATTCATTGAGGAGTCGCTCGCGGGTGCCCTCTGCTGTAGTCATGTTTATGAGGAGCCTGGCCGCTTCCTATTCTCCCCGTTACATCAAAAACGGGCTTACCAAACAGCAGAGGGCGCCCGTGAGGGAGTCCTCAATGAATGGGGGTAAATGGAGCTCAATGGCTAAAAACGAAAAGTTAGAATAGTTTCTAATCACTCGCCCAGAACGTTTCTTTAATTTTAGAAAGTAGAAGGATGGATTTCACTAAAAAAACAAAGAAATATTCCCTATATGTTTCCTTTTTCTACAGCAAACAGGTTTTGGGCAGCAGGAGGCGGGCATTACTGCTAGAGCGTGATGATTGATTGGCGAGCGGAGCAGCTCATTGGCTGTTCGCGCTCACTGACGTCTTGAACGTACATGAGGCGCCGTTTTAAACTCCTATAACTCGAGTTTAAAAGCTCTTAAAATATAACAGCGGTGTTAAAATGTTTTATGCTGCTCTGTGTTCAGGAAATGATTACATTCTTTTACATTAAAAATGTTTAAGCATTTATAAACTATGATTTTGCTCAAATGCTCCATATCAACCCATTCATTTTGGACTCACTCGGGAGCGCCCTCTAGCGTCTGAGAAACCCGGAAGACATTGCAGAGTGATAATTCCAGTTCTCTGGTACTTCTCCTCTCTGCAAGTTCTCTGGTCTCACTCTGACTGGACTCACGTGGTGCTCGTTGTCAGGGTAACATCTACACTAAGCGGTACTCTACACATGCGCGTAAATGTGGATCGGATTGCTTGTAATGTGCATAGTTTCCATCACACTGCTGAGTAGAGTGAGCACATAAACACCTCAGTCTTAATCTATAATCGGAATGTATTCAAGCGGATTGGCAAAAATCGTTGTATGTAAATAAAGCCAGTGTCCTTGACAGCTACACATCCTTTCAGACCCATAGCGCTTGATTTTCTCCTCTCTCTCAAGGATGAAAGCTTTAAGTGCTGTTTATCTGACAGTTTTGGTGGTCTGGGGGTTTTTAGGAGTCTCATTTTCTCTGTGGCGTACAAATGAATCCCTCACTCTGCTGTAAGTAGTCACTATTAGACATGCAGTGTGCTGATATTAAGCACTTAATAGGCACCAACAGCTTCAGTTTCACAGAACTGAAATGTTTGTATCTAATGAGTTTACGCTGCTCCATTACTCCCAGCACAATTCAGCCAAGCGACCGACTCTGCCTAAATGAGCCAGAACTGGAGCGTCTCTTCCCACACAGGTGCAGTGAACAGCTGCTCTAATCACATTTGCTCGGAACTGGATATGTTACAGCCTGGAATTCGTGCTGCAGACCATCTAATAAAATAGATTTCTTTATTTGTTTCTTTCCTTTTCACCTGTACTGTAAGTGTGCTTTGATTTCAGGTTAAATGTGGCGCTTTATTAGTGTTAAGAAAAAAATGAAGTGAGATAATTCATGTTATTCAGCCTGTGAATGCAGAACGCCTGGCGCCGAGTGAGCAACAGCAGCTCTCACGTACAGATACCATGAATGAAGCCGCTGTGTTCAAGGTTGTTCTAGAGCCGCAGAGTTTTTCTCCCACAAAAACAGCTTTTGAGATTTCCGTGTTTAGTTTCATGGCCTCTTCCAGCCAAAACAAAAAGGTCCTGATTGTATTCGTGGCTCATGTTGTCAGTTCACTTCAGGCATTTAATGTTACACACAGTGTTTTCCTCACTGGCGGTTCACAAGCTGATGGTCAGTGACTGACAGAGGAACTAATAGAACTAATACAAACTAATAGTGAACAGCACCGTTTGAAGGCTCCGCTTCATGGAAACCTGATTATCTTATTTCCCCCCTTTTCTCACTGTAGCAGAAAGTATTAAGTATTCTCTCTCTGTAGAGGAAAACAACAATTCTCTCTCTCTCTTTCCCTCTCTTTCTCTCTCTCTTTGTCTCTCTTTCTTTCTCTCTTTCTCTTTCTCACTCTGTCTTTCTCTCTCTCTCGCTTGCCGTAGCATAAGGTGTAAAATATTCTCTCTTTCACTAGAAGAAAGCATCGATTCTCTTTTTCTCTCTGTCTCTTTCCCTCTGTCTTTCTCTTTCCTTGTCTTTCTCTTCATGTTCTCTGTCTTTCTCTTACTCTCTCACTGTAGCATTAGGTTTAAAGTCTCTCTCTCTCTCTCCCTCTCTCTCTCTCTCTACTAGAAGGTATGAAGTATTTTCTCTCTCACTGTAGTATAAAGTATACTCTCTCTCTTTCTTTCTGTAGCAGAGGATATAAAGGTCTCTTTCTCTCTCTCTCTCTCTCTCTCTCTCTCTCTCTCTCTCTCTCTCTCTCTCTCTCTTCTCGTCTCTCTCTCTCTCTACTGGAAGGTATAAAGTATTTTCTCTCTCACTGTAGTATAAAGTACTCTCTCTCTCTCTCTCAGTTTGTAGCAGCAGAAGATATGAAGGTCTCTCTCTCTCTCTCTCTCTCTCTCTCTCTCTCTCTCTCTCTCCCTTACCTCCCTCCTCGTATATGTTGCACTAAAGAGAAGGATAGAGGGAGGTGGGCAACTGCTCTCTCCAAAGGCGAGTCGTTCTCCCTCTCTCTCTCTCCCTCTCCCTCTCTCTCTCTCTCTCCCTCCCTCTCTCTCTCTCTTCCTCTTTATCCTGCCAGCGCTCGGCGCGCGCCTCTATATTTCCCGCTCTCTCTCTCGCGCGCGCGCTGCCATGCGGAACTCCTCCTCTCCGGACTGCCTGCACGGGCGCGCCGCGCGCCTCTCTCTCGCGGCCGTTTACGCGCTGCTGTGCGCGGGTGGCCTCGCGCTCAACCTGGCCGTGGTGTGCGTGGTGGGGGGCTTCAGGAAGCTGCGCACGGCCAGCAACGCCTTCATCGTCAACGGCTGCGTGGCGGACCTGCTGGTGTGCGCCGTGTGGATGCCGCAGGAGGCCGTGGCCGTGTCCACCGGGGGCGGGGTGGGTCCCCCGGCCCTGCGCGCGCTGCGCGAGGCGCTGCTGCTGCTGGGCATCACCGTCTCGCTCCTCTCGCACTCGCTGATCGCCGTCAACCGCTACGTGCTGATCACCAAGAGCCCCGGCACGTACCAGGCGCTGTACCAGAAGAGGCACACGGAGTGGATGATAGCGGGCTCGTGGCTCATCTCTCTCGCCTCCCTGTTGCCCTGGATCACGGGCTTTGGGTCCAGGAATGAGGGGTGCAGGGATGCAGCAGCATCAGCATTGGCATCTTTATCATCAGCATCAGTGTCAGCATCGTCCTTAGCAACGGCAGCATCAGCATCAATATTATCAGCATCAGCACCACCATTGATATCATCTGCATCCCCATCACCGTCATCATCAGCATCTGTAGTAGCGACAGTATCTTCAGCATTAGCATCCTCAGCATCAGTATCACCTGCATTAGCATCACTGTCACCAGCATCAGTACCACCAGCAGCATCCTCAGCATCAGCACCAGCATCCTCATCAGCATCCTTCACCATGGGCCTGCCGCTCCTGGCCCATCCGCCCTCAGCCGGCACCCTCGCCCTGACCATCCTGGGCCAGACGGCCGTGGTCCTGTACTGCTACTTCAAGATCTTCCGCCGCGTGCAAAGCAGCGTGAAACGCGTGAGCGTCCTGAACTTCCAGCTGGTCAACAGCCTCCCCTGCGCCTTCCCCCGCAAGGACAGGCGCCTGGGCCTCTGCGTACTGGCCGTGTGCTTCGTGTTCCTGCTGACCACCCAGCCCGTGTGCTGGACGCTGGCTGCGGCCATGTTCACCCGCGTGCCCGGGCCGCTCTGGACCTTCTCCTGGCTCCTCTTCTGCACCGTGTTTGTGTGCAACCCGTTCCTGTACACGTGGAAGAACGAGGAGTTCCGGCGGTCTCTGAGGTGCGTGGTGAGGGGAGAGTTGTGGAGGGGGTCCACTGTGGGAGTGGAGCCCAGCACGGTCAGCAGCATCTCACACCTGCTGCCCCGCCAGAGCAGCCGCAGGGCTTTTCTGAGCCAGGCTAACTGAGCCCAGTCCTGCAGTACCTTCCACTCAGTCACATTCTTAATGATCATTATCCTGATGGTGATGAAGATGATAATGCTGATAGTGATGATGATGGTTATAATAATGATAAAGATGATGATGGTGATGGTGATTATAATGATATTGGTGATGATGATGATGATGATGATGATGGTGATGGTAATAATGATGATGATGATGATGGTGATGGTAATAATGATGATGATGATGATGATGATGGTGATGGTAATAATGATGATGATGATGATGGTGTGAAGATAACAGATTATAAAAATTATGTTTAGGAAGATAATGATATAACGATGGTGATGGTGGTGGTAGTGAAGATGATGATAGTAATGACAGATGATTCTAATAATCATGATGACGATGATAGTACATACAGTCATGTGCAAAAGTTTTGGCGCCCCAGTCAAATGTTTATTTGCTGAATTTAAAGTAGTAAAAATTAAAACATAAAGTTTGGTCTGTGCAAAAGTTATGGTATATTTTATATGCTCATAATACATTTAAGGTTGTTCCTTGTAGATGATATGTTGAGTAATATTTACTTTGAAAATCGACAGAATTTTAAATTTTTTGCATACGACTGTGCCAAGTCAATTCCACCAAGCTGAATGAAATTTTCATTGAAACTAAGCAGCACTGCCTTTAAAATGAACTGAAACTGTATAAAAATGATGACAAATGTTTATATTTTCATAGCAAGTGAGTATTAAGCCAACAATGGAAAAGATTTCTTGTCTTTTTTGTACATTTTCTGCTTAAGTCAACTTCCTTTGTGTTGTTGTTAAGATTGTGTTACTTTATTGGACTTTCAATGAACTAACAGTTTAACCCTTGTGTGGTGTTGGGGTCTGTGGGACCCATTTTCAGTGTTTACCAAAAGAAAAAATTATGAGATTTATTATTATTTCAACCTCAGGTTCTTGGCCTTTGCTCATTTTCTGTGAAGAACATCTAAAATAACACATTTTCAGTGACTCCACTCTGTTCACCCTCTACACCATTATATTACACGTGGTGTTGGGTGAACCTGCGGGGAGTAAAACTGTGGAAGTGCTGTGTCCTTCACTCCGTTCTCCTCCTACATGACCTGCTGTTAGTGTGTGTGTGTCTGTATGTGTGTGTGTGTATATGTGTGTGTGTCTGAGGGTGGACAACATGGACTGGCTGCTGACTGGCTACAGCTGCTAAAGGAGAGCCCTACGCTGGACACTTGTGATATTTTACCCATCTGGTATTTTTACATCAATTGTTATGGCTGCATTGATTTAAAAAACCAATAATGTGGTGGGACCACCGGACCACTGAGTAACAAACACATCAACACCACACAAGGGTTAAGGGAAGCTTGTTACTGGCTTTATTGAAACAACAAATTATTTTTACAGTGTAGTGCTTGTTCACTACTAGTGCACGTCTTTCTGTTTGTGATGAGGGAAAATCTCATTATATAAAGAAGTGATGGTAAAGAAATGCTAGTAGATGGTGTATCCTGTATATCACTGGCTTCAAGGCTGGATACTGGGGAGGCTACTACCACCAAAACAGCTAAAAAATAAAATGACAAAACATTCCTCCATTAAAAACTACAACAGCTAAACCGAACTTCACAGGGAATTTACATTACAAACACAAGTATTACAGCCTTAGTCAGGACGCCACATTGGGCCTAAGCACTGTTTGTGCCAACTGCATGCGGTTTGACAATGACTGTATGTCAGAAATCAGCCAGTGTTTTTTAAATATTGTTTTGTACGCACAATGTAAGATTTGTGAGAGTTTTATCGTGAGGATTTTTGCTAAACAGTCCATACGCTGCTGCTGCTTTTTCAAGCAAAACTACATTTGTATGAACATGTTGGAAATAAATTGTAAAATGACTCATTTTGTGGTCGTATTTGTTGCCCTGTGCTTGGTTATATTTTCATGAATGGGAATCTGTGGGTTGTTTCGGGTTAGGATGTGTAATAGTGTCCTTACTACAGGCTGATTTAAATGGTGCCGGCAGGCAAATCAGGTCAATGTGTGTCAGAGCTGAAAGATGACATAAGCTGCCTTACAGCGAATGCATGCTTTACTCGTTCCTCTCAGTCATAGTAGACCTGCTCAGGTCTACTCATTCGTGCTAAATCATATGATTATATTCTCCTGCTTACTACACTGTAAAAAACAGATACTCAACAGTCGGCAGAACTGAAGGCCAAAGCTGATGCTTTGCTAGTAGGTAACAGCCTGTATAACTGCTTTGAATAGTAAGACTTAATGCCTTATTTCTAGTTAGGAAACGTTAGCAGGCCTGCTATCGGTCTTTCAGTCAGGCATTCGTGTTAAGCTCGCCTCTGAGCAAGCTGAGTGTTTCCGCTCAATGTCAGATGGGGGTGGTGGGAGGTGAAACATATTAGTTAATGTTATTTTTCCCAGCCCGCTGCTGCATGTGAAACAAAAACCAAAAAATCAAAAAAGGTGAAAGTCATTATTTTTTGATGTTATTTTCTTTTAAATTACTTAAAGCTACAATGAATCATGAAGGAACTAACAAGTTAGTTTTGATTTCAGGTCGACTTGCAGTCGGGACCTCAGCCCTGTTAAAGTCCTGGATGCCTGATCAGTGGCTTGGTATTTGCTAAATTCAGCAGATGTTAGCTAGGTAGCTATGTTTACAAGGCAGTCTAAGGTAGACAGATGTCAGTTGCACAATCTAATATTGCCAGTTGATTCCACGACAATGTAATCTTGGATGGACGGCAACACTAGGTTAGCTTTATGACAGCGCCTTGGCTAGTTTATGAGCAAAACAAAAATAAGACACAAATACAACATATAACACAGCTCACACTCTGATTTTTCAAATTGTAGTGCCTGAGCTGCACCGTTCACCTGTTCAGACTTCAAATTTGACCACAACCCTGCCCTCCTTGTGTAGCAGATCAACTATAAAGTGAAAGAAATGGTGACAATTTGTCTTATTATAGAATAGGTTGCATGTGGCCTAATATAGCTGCCCACAATGACTGTAAGGACATCAGAACAGGACACAACTCCCAGAAGTGTGGATGGAGCACTTGGGCCGTAGTGCAGGGGGCAGGGGCTAGAACATTTAGAATGGGATGGCCTGGTAAGACCCAGAGATTTTACTGGGGTGGCAAACTGGATAAGAAAAAATAATAATAAAATATCATTACTGAATTGAAATGACTAATGATTAGAAAGCTAGCCAGGCAGCACTGTATAAAGGAACCTACAAAAAACGGTAAAAGAAAATTGGTTAGCATGAAGAGCCATTGTAGCTGACTGATTTTTGATAGTTAACGCATCTTCATAATGTAGCACAGAGGGGCAGCACTGCTGAAGGGACTCACATTCACTCTCCTGTTTACTGTAAATTAGCCTCTCACAGCAAGATGCGCTAAATATTAAACGCAGCGTCATCAGACCGTCATAACTGGTAACTACCTTGATGACAGATTTTTTCCATAAAGCACAACTGATTCTTTATTAATAATGGCTGACTGTCTCACTTTCCATGACTGGGACAGCCAGAAGTGTAGCCATGCTTCATTTCAGGGTGGCACTGGCCATCACTAGCCACCTCTTGGCTACGCCTCTGGCAGTTGGGGTGGCTGGAGCATGGTGACCGGACCCCCTAACATCTTTACTGGCCATCTTATATTGCTACTTATGTAATTTTCCCAGACAGTGAGCATATATTGATCCACTGGCTTGATAAGATCGGCACCCCGCTGACTGTTTGATACTTCTGGTCCACCCTCTGTCCTGCATACAATCTCTACTTAATTTCTCCTCAAACAGATTATTAAATGCACACAGACTTTTATTTTAGAAATAAAAAACTGAGACTAATAAACTAAGACAAATATTACAAACAACTGAGGGAGAAAAAAATAATGACTAGGTCTGATTTAAAATGATTTTATAGAAAATGTTCTCGCTGACACTGCGCTGGATTAGAATTACTTACTAAACTAATTTACAAAGTATAACTAAAGAAAGGAAGGAATAATAAGGAAATTGGACTGTGAGTGGAAAATAAGCAATAATAAGTGGAATTTTGTCTAATATTCTGCTTAAACGCTGGTGGGCCACCCAGAAAATGCTGAGCAAAACGCCAGTGGACCACCGGCTTTGCCATAAGGCGATAAGTTAATAATTACACAGCTGGCCTACCAACTTGGTTAACATAGCAATATGTAGTAATAAAGCTAAAAACACTGTCGTTTCTTCTTCAGTGAAGGCCATTTCAGTATGAGAGGCCCATTCATTTATCTATTGATTGATTTAGTTGGTTGATTGATTGATTGATTGATTGCACTGGGGCCCATAAGGCCCTAGTATGGCTCCTGCTGGAACTTCTCATAGCATTGGTAGCATTGTTTACCTACTTCTGTGAGGTCATATTCCTTTCTCTGGGAACAACAGTAGGTGCTAAACAGTGGTAACTATCAGGTGTGACATGAAGTGCCTCAGTGGTCTTTGACTAACAGTCCTCACCCTCATGCTAATCATGACATAATGTAATGATGATTAGCATGCTAATGTGTTTTGGTCGTCATTGTTCTCAGTAGATGTAGGAATTCATTGTTGTTCAAATAAAGCTGGGTTTTCCCATCATTCATTCGTTTTGGCAAAAAAATTGAATGACTCATTGAAACAATCCCACTCGTCTCCTCCAGCCAGAGGGGCAGAGCTTAGGTTTCCTTTAAGCGCTGCGTTTCTGAGAAGGACAGAGATCTGATTTTAAAATGAAAGTAATAAGACAGTATTACACGCATTGTTTAAACAAGTTTACAACATTTGATTAAGTTCTTCAGTGTCCACTAAAGGCAAATTTGTGAAAAAAGAGCAATTTTTTCTCTTTTTCTGAAGTTGGTGAGAGCAGTGCCACTGCTCACCAGCAGAGGGCGCATCCTAGAGCTCCCGCTTAGAGTGCGTTTCTCATTCTTCCCCAGTGGAAAATGAATGGAGGCCTCACTAGGGGAATTCAGCAGCGACTTATTAGGTGTTTATGGGGGCGTATGTTCCTCTGTTCCTGCCCCTCTCTGTCCCAAATAAAGGAAGGCTGTGGTCAAATGAGTCTGCAGTGCACTGACACATTTAATCATCAGAGCATCTCTGTACTGAGTGGAGGTTTTAGCATTTCAGGATGTTTCCAGCTCTAAGTGTGACTCTGACTGTTCTTCTGCCACTTGCAGGTGAGATCTATCTTGTCCTTACTGAACATAAATGTGAATAACAATTGAAAAAAGTACAGAAAAAGTCATGAATTTACTTGATTTAAATGTGTTTGTATCATTTACATATAATATGCACACTTAAAAATGATGGTTCTTCAAGGGTTCTTTAGTAAGGAAAATGGTTCAATATAGAACCATGAACACTCAGAGAAACCTGTGCACGATTAAAGAGTTCTTTGCATCTTGAAAGGGTTCTTCAGACTGATGAACAATGTGCTGTAGATGGTTCTTTATAGAACCGCCTATATAGAAAGCCTATATAGGGTTCTTTTATTTAAACTTTTTGGTGCTATATAGAACCAACTACAGCAAATTCTCCATCAATCTGAAGATGGCTTTCACTGACAGGACAGGCTCACTGGGCACCAGCTGGACATTACATTACATCTCTCTACTTATGCACTGCCACTTTGTTTGTACATCCATAAATATTTCATATTGCACAACTGTTAGCACAGGTTATCGTTTACAGTGTGTAGTCACTTGGTTCATTCACTGGAGGGGACATGCACCACTGCATTGTCAACTGTATCGTATTTATTTCTGTACTGCACAGAAATTTTTTTTTTTGTTGTTGTTTTAGTATAATCTATCTATTTATCTATCTATCTATCTATCTATCTATCTATGATGCAAAGAACGCTTTAATCATGCAAAGGGTTCACTGAATGTTCATGGTTCTATATGGAACCATTTTCTTTACTAAAATCCCTTGAAGAACCATCATTTTTGAGTGTGTAGGCCTAAATTACATCAACGCAAGTTTGTATTTCAGTTTGCGTACTTTTGTTAAGTGTTTGAATTCATTGCATCACAGTTTGAATCAAGTAAATGTAATGCATTGTTGATTTCAGTGTAATAACGTGAGCTTATTCCTACATTCATGGGGATTTTCAGATGCTACAGTGGTGCATAATGTAATATGACGTAATATAATAATCCAACTTCTAAACCTGATACTGAAAATGGTCGTATTTCTTCTGTAGCTGCTTTGCAGATGAACCTCAGTCCGAAGAAGGTGCTGTACAAAGTTGGAGACAGAGAGGAAATTAAGTGTAGCATGAATGAATGTCCAGAGGAGGTGAAATTCTCCTGGGGTTCACTGGGCGACAAACCTCTCTATGCTGACTATAAAACATCCCCAAAGGAATCAGTTCTGATCTTCAGCAGCGTGACCAAAGACCACGAAAACATAATTAAATGTACAGCGAAGTGCAAAGAAGTGTCCAAACAGGCGACAGCGACAGTGAAAGTGTACTGTAAGTCTATAACTTTATTATTATTAATCAGCTGCAGAGGTGGAGAGAGGAACGTTAAAGCACAGCCAAGCAAAAGTGCTGTTACAGTACGTAAAAGCAGCTGCTTGAGTAAAAGAAAATGTTACTACCCACCTCCTGCAGTCAAAGTGGAATACCACCATTTTTTCAAAATTTCTGCATAATTACATGGTTAGGATGTAAGCAGATTCATTCAGAGTGGTTTGGTGTGAAATGCTCTGTTCTAGAGAAACTTGCTGAGTCAGAATTGTTCACAGTGGTGGTGATAGGAACCAGACGTCTGAACTGAATAATGCCTGTAAAAGAGCCCTCACAGAAAGTAAGCACATTAGATGATTACGAATGCACTAAATACATTTAGGTATACGTTTTAAGGCAGTTTTGAGATACAATTTGAGAAATATGCTTCTGGAAAAAAAAAAGGCTATATTTGTGCTGGAGACATCATGACCCCTTTTTCCACCACCCCATAAAGAAATCTGAGTTGCTAAGTTTCCCTGCAGTGAACCATTTTATATCAGACCACTCTGAATGACTTTCTCATTGATTAAATTATTCGGAAATTTGGAAAAATCAGCAGAATTCCTCTTTAATTAGAAGATAATCTAAACTAAACATGATGACATTTTTGTTTCATTTGCAACCCTGACTACTTTTGGTTTTATATTTCAGCTTTCGCAAAGGACCCAGTCATCTCAGGGCACGACAGCTTAGTGTTAGGAGTGAAGAGCACGTTGACCTGTGAGGTCACTGATGTCTATCCAGCAGAGTATATGGAAGTGGAATGGCTGCGGGGAGACACTGTCATGCACACACAGGAGGGCCAGCCTGACACTCAGACTATTCGGTCCGATTACACTTTCACACCACAGAGACAGGATGATGGAGAGCAGATAACCTGCCGGGCCTCACTCATGCTACCAGACATACCACCAGATCAGAGTACCAGAGAGACCACCATATCCTTGACTATACTGTGTAAGTTCATCAACTCAAATTTACAGTTAACAGCAAAGCAGCAAAGCCTTAAAATAGTAGTTTGGCGAAAATCATATTTACACAATTTCCCTGGATATACAAGAGAATATAGACATATATTTTCCTACAAATTGACACTATCGCATATATGGGTCATTCTACAGAAACGTCCACTTTTCTATCTATCCATAGGTGTCACTGGTGTTACTGATCGTCATCGGTGTTACACGTAATAAAGGTAACACCAGTGACATTTTTAATGAAAAATGCATTTTACAAAATAACTGCTAGAGCATCAAACCACATGTTGTAAATCATGGAATATCCACTAAAATATGTAATTTAATCGATTTGTATTCTATATTTTCACAGTTACCTAAGAATAAAGTCGGTCACACCAGTGACTTCAACTGCAAGCTTCATATGAAATCATGAGCTAAATGAGAAAATTTGAGAAAATGTGCTTTTCTTCATAGATCCTCAGAAAATAGGTAAAAGGAAGTCAAGTGATGTCATCAATGTGATTTTTATTTCAAAATAAGAGATTTTTTGCTACGCGGTAACACCAGTGACACGACTCCCGAGGACAACAACTTTCATTATATATTTCATAATATTTATTTGCCATTTATTTTCTTTATGTCATTTAATTTATATATTTAATAGTCATGTATAGATTATTGGAGTCATTTGTAGTTTTTTTCTTCAAAATATGTCTCTCACACTTCTGTGGTGCTTGGAATTCTTTGATTCTTCGATAATTGATTTAAAAAATAATATCGCTAAATTGAGGCTCAAGAAGGTGTAATTGTTAAAATAACTTTATTTTAAAAAATAAATACATTGAAACGCTAACATGTTTTTTTTAAGTGTAACATATCTGTAAATGCTAGGGACACAAAAATGGACGTTTCTGTAGAATGACCCATTAATCCACATATGCATACATATATGAAAACACATATTGAAGTATATGTGCATACATGAGCATATATTAAAATCTTTAAAAATGGCACATATATTTTACAATGTCACTAAAATATCACAGATAATACACAAGCCAGAACATGCATACGTAGTTTTCTGCCAATGAGCAAGCTAAAAGGCTAATGAAGCTAAGTACCTTATCAATTAGCATTGTGCTAACTGCATGCCTAAATCATTACAGACTGCACCAGACCATGATAACAGACCTGCTTATGTGGTTTCTGACAGCGTTATCCGTGAACATGGACATAAGTATGTAGCGTAGCTAAAAACAGCAGTAGCAGCCATGAAGCCTTAATCTTTTTTCTGAATCTGAAGTTTTGTGCATTTTTTGAGGAATACACTGTCACACAGTGTCAGAAACTACATAAGCAAGTCTATTCGAGATTACTTAACAACGCCGCACAGTTTGAAGCAAATGTGTGGTGATTTAGACGAGCATTCTGCACAACGCTAACTGTTATATTAGCCCCGTAGCTCCAGTGCAAAAACTAAAGCAGCAAACTTCAGACGCTAAACCTGTCTTTGCTGGTTGACTACATTTGGAGTGAAGGGGTAAAATAATTTAGACTGGATGGATCGTTTTAACATTTGCTCTTCATGTTGGACAGAATGCATGTTCTCACTCTCTGCTCTTTCCTCCAGCTGCACCAAGCAATGTGAGAGGGTCTGGGTCAACCACAGTTCCAGCTGGCTCTGCTCTCTCTCTGACCTGTGACGCGGACGGCAGTCCGGAGCCAGTGTTTTCTTGGAACGTTCTCAGGCCTGATGGTCAGAGGGTTAGAGTAGGAGAGACGCGGGAGCTTTCCCTTCCTAACGTGACTCTGTCAGATGCAGGGGACTATGAGTGTGAGGCCAGCAACAGGATTGGGAAAAAGACAGCCACAGTGACCGTTACCATTCACGGTTAGTGGAAACATTTCCGTACCGTTGCCTACCTTACATTTGCATTTGTACTGTCACTTGAGGTAAAGCTTCTACCTTAGTAGCATTACGTCGAATTCCAGTCTAAAACTAGTATTTAACGTTATTTATTATGTATGTATTATTCTGTAGTGCAGTATTGCACCGCTTAGCTGCATCAGTTTGACAGAATTCAGAATTTTGTTTCATTTTTTGTGTTTTGGCCCATTCATGTTCTTTCACTACAATACCCAACATGCAATCACACCATTATTGGGAACTGCTACAGAACTGACTGCTAGCTACTGATCTGTGGTCCTTGCTATTTGTGATGTGATATAGCATTAACCTCAACTGGTCATCAGACTTTTTTCTTTGTTAAATTGATTGGTCAGCCAGCTAGCGAAAAAAGTTTCAAACAGCCCAAAGTATTGTGGTCTTTTAAAATGTACTTCCGCCTTCGAGATGCATCATCAAAAGGGGATTTTCCTAGTCTTTAAACCAGAAAATCCCACTTAAAGACCACTGTTGCACCACTGCAAGAGGAGAATAGGCATGTTTACAACAGAAATAGCACTGATTAAATTTTTTTGGTTGGAGTATCCCTTTAATTAAAGACCGAGTCACGTCTCTGACCTCACAGTGAATCAAATTGGTTATGACTCTTTAGGAAACGATTCAAAGCTTCTCTCATATTTCACCACAGTTTGACTCACTTTAAGATTCACACAGCTTTAAACTGTTTGACAGCTTTAAATCTACTACATCAGTTTCACTCAGTTAAATTCAGGCCCAGCGCTGTGCTTTGAGGTTCACTCATTTGGTGCTTCATTCTGCAGGTCCTCCAACAAACACTGTGATATCTGTGTCCCCTGATGAGCCAAAGGAAGACGAGTCTGTGACCATCTCCTGCGTGAGCAGCAGTGTTACAGAGAGCCATCTGGTCCTGAGTAAGCTGCTGGATGGAGCAGAGACTGAGCTGGCGTCTGATGAAGGGCCTCGAATCTCCCTCTCTTACAGCTCTGCCAGCATCAATGACTCAGGCCTCTACGTCTGCAAGGCTTTCAATGATTACGGCAGCCAGGAGGCCAGTGTCCAGCTTCTTGTTCAAGGTGAGTCTCTTAGCAGTATTGAAATGTTTCTAAGGGATTTTTTTATGCACGGGGGAAAGTGTTGTCCTGCAGCTAAATTAATGTACAATAGAGAATTGCCTGAATGGAGTAAACCAGACTTAATCTCTGTCTGGGAAAATGTCTGCAGCTTTTAATACATCATATTTCATTAGCTTTGAGCTTTGCTCTATTATCAAAAAATGTGAATGATGCTGCGCTGTAGGGAAAAATAGCCAAATGAAAGAAAAGTAAAATGAAAAGTACATGAGCAGTGAAATGAAAAGTGCAAAGGAAGATGTCGAATGACCAAGCTTTAGTAAGGATGGTTTGATTTCTGGAATGTGGTTTAAACAGCTGCATGCTTCACTACATTTAGATGCGGTTATGTTAAAGGGACGCAATGGCCATCATGAGAAATTGCATCATCATTACATCAGTTGTAAACATGCCTAGACACCTCATACAGCCGTGCCACAATAGTTTTGAATGAGATTTTTGGTTTGAAGGCTACAAAACCCACTTCTGATGATGTATTTTAAAGGTGGGAGAAACCTTTTAAAAAACTACAAAGCGCTTCTGGGCGGAGACTTGAGGGTGGGTTAATGATACTCACTAGCTGGCTAATGCAGAGGGACACCAGATAGCTGGTGTTACTGCTAGGAAACTGTGTATCATCAGTGGTACCTCAGTGGTACATGTATGGATTTTTTGGGGGAAGATTGCCATGTTTGCATAATGCATGCTGGGTATTGTAGTGAGCAAACACTGATGGACAAAAACACAAAAAGGATGCACAACCGTGAATTCCCTTAAACCGACATGCAATGCTGCACTGCAGAATATTACATAACATGACGGAAAACATATTAAATATTAGTTTTAGCTCAGAATACCTTTTTAAGAAAAGCGGAACTGACTGTCCACTATAAGTGTCTTATAAACTGACAGTGAAGAGTGGCCTTACTGTATAAAAGTCAAGACTCGTGAAAGACAGTTCGTTCACGTTTGTAAATAGAATGATGATCGTAGCTGACTCTCCAAAAAAAGTAACTTTACAGGAGAAGCAAAAATGTTCTTAACTTACAGTCTAAGTTAATGTGAGAAGATTTTATTTTAGGTAATTTTGGAACATTTCTGTTGGTCCATTTATCACGAAAATGTGATAGCATTTTGATAGCAATTGAAAAATGATATAGAAAAATAAAATTAAATAAAAGTACATTAAAAATGGAGATACTAGGTTTTGTTCCGGCAGTGGTGATATGTTACTGAATAAAGCTATATGTTTTAGATGCTAATGGACGTCCAAGTTAAATTAACATGCTCATATTGGTTTGTTTCTAAACAGAAAGCAACCCTATTACCATGTTGTGTTACAATACCCTGTGCAACACTATCTAAAATGATCTATGATGTGTCTGAGTTTGCCTGTGATTGTGAGCTTGCGTCTGTCAGCTCCAGGCGAGCAGCTGTGGTGTGATTTTCAGCTTTCCAACAAAACAGACTGTGTTTTCAAACAGTTTTCCAAATGCACACTAAGCCTTGGAATAGATCATGCCGCGAATTTGGATTATCCAGTGAAAATCCAGAACAAGCCCAGGACAGCGTGTGTTATGTGTTGAGAAAACTGACCCTAATTACAGTTTTGGCAAACCTGCCCTTGTGCACCATGTCTGGCTAATAATATTTGATATCTCAGCTCAGTCTGGCCCTCTGTTTGGGCATGTGAGGCGCTTGTTTTCTTTTGTTTTCATCTTTTGACCTCCGCACCAGTTAACCTATATAAAATCATTGTCCTGTACAAGGCCCAGGCTAAATACTGTCCATTGGATTTTTGACAGCTTTGGTAAACTAAACTGTTTTTGTTTTTTGCTTGTGTCTTTCACCTTCGTCAGCTCATCCTCTGGAGGTGACCCTGCAGCCAGACCTGAGCGTGATCACAGTAGAGCGAGGGTCAGTCCTGTCACTGTCCTGTGAGGCCTCAGGCTGTCCTCACCCACACTTCACGTGGAAGGGTCTGGAAGATAAGCCACGATACAGAAGCAGTGACACTCAGACGGCCGTATCCCAGCTAAACTTGGGGCCTGTGGGGCCGAAAGAGGATGGGGCTTTTATCTGTGAAGTCAAGTGTGGCTCTGTGGTGAAGTCCAAACGCACCGAGGTGAAAATTTTCTGTAAGTATCATCGAGGTGTTAGTATTTCAGAGCTGACAGGAAATCATTAACATGGTGATCTGTTTTGAAGTGCACATTCAGCCAAAAATGACCCCTCACACTGTAACCATGAAAATGGGTGTAATGTATCCATGGAAATAGGAGTAGCATAACCATAGAAACAGGTGTAATGTAACCATGAAAATGGGTGTAATGTAACCATGGAAATGGGTGTAATGTAACCATGGAAATGGGTGTAATGTAACCATAGAACAGGAGTAGCTTAACCATAGAAATAGGTGTAATATAACCATGGAAATGAGTGTAGCATAACCATGAAATCAGGAGTAGTGTAACCATAGAAATGGGTGTAGTGTAAACATGGAAACAAGTGTAACACAACCATGAAAATAGAAGAAGCATAACCATAGAAATGGGTGTACCATAACCATGGAAATAAGCATAGGTAACCATGGCAATGAGCATGGTGTTATCATGAAAATGGGTGTAGCACAACCATAGAAACAGGTGTAACATAACCATGGAAATAGGTGTAGCATAAACATGGCAGTGAGCATACCATAACCATGGAAATGGATGTAGCATAAGTATTAAAATCACCGTAGCATAACCATAGAAACGGGTGTAGCATAACCATGGAAATGAGTGTAGTATAGCCATGAAAATGGATGTATGGATGCATAGCTAAACAGCTATGAAGGGCTTGTTTGGGGTCTGTTTGAAATGGTCTGTTCGACTACATTTGGGGTCAGGAGTTGTACTGATTGTATTGATTTGATTACAGTTTTTCAGCAAACTGTTGCATTAAAACAAAGTACAGTAATGAACATAAAGGAAAGTAATCTACTGAAATGTATCAGTGCATTTTTTGTGGTCAAATATGATGTGAAAACTGAAGCCGTGCTTTCAGTAAAACAGCCTTGTTGGACCATTAAGCTAGAGGACAACATTTGCTGCACAGCACTGAATAAGCCCCTCAAAGTCTTTGTCGAAATGAGATGTGCATTATGCTTGAGTGCGCATGTAATCACTCATTCACTCAGTTTAATAAGTTCTGAAACCAGAACTGATAAGAAGCAACCACTGATACAGTTATTAGGGAGGATGGAGAGAAACGGTGATAAAAGCATCTTCAAGGTTTTTGAAGTGGGAGCAGCCATCAGTGTTACGTGCTCTTCTAACTTTAGCATTATTATGTTTGAGTTCACTGAATCTTCTCTCGAAATGTTCTGTTCTTTCTCTCCTGCAATGAGGTCACACTTTTTTACGAAAGTGCCAGTTTGTTTACATTTTTCAGCAGAATGATGTGGTTCAGCTTTTGTAGGTCAGGTTCCTCCTTAGATTCACACATGATGTTTCTCATTTTCTCCTTCAGCCTTCCCCTCACATCCTGCCGTTGAAAGCTCTGGAACTTCTCTGGAGGGTGAGATGACCAATTTGACCTGCACGGTCCATGACGTGTTCCCTGCTGACCGTTTCCGTACGCAGTGGCTGGACGGAGAGACGGAACTGTTTTCACAGACATGGTCTTTTGCTAATGGACTGCAGACCCTTAGCTCAGTCTTCTCCTACCAACCTAACGGGAGTGACCATGATAAGAACATTAGCTGTAAGGTTTCACTGGAGATGGATGGAGTGCCTGCTGAGCTAGCGGAGAAGACGGCATCTATCACCTTGGCAATGCACTGTGAGTGAATGCAGTTTTTTGGGGAGTTTGAGGTGCTATTCCAAATGCATATGGGTCATACTGTATGTCCAGAATTGCATCATAGCAAGTCATGCGGTGAACTAGTAGTATAAAGCTGCTTGATGAAGAGTGTCACAAATGTGCTGAGGCTAATGGAAGCAGCATAGTTTTGGCTCAGTGGGGACCAAGAGGGGGGCAATAAGTTTTTTTTTTGCCATTTTGCAGCTTTATAGGCTTGGCTTAGGGGCTTATATGGGTATAGCAGATCCATAGTAATCAATGAATTTAGTGTTACCATGGTAACGGGTGTGGTACAACCATGAAAATGGGTGTAGTGTGACCATGGGAATGGACGCAGTGTTACCATCAAAATGGAAATAGGCTTTCCATATAAAAACAAAAATGGAAATGGGTGTAGCAAGACCATGGAAATTGGTGTAGTGTTACCATAGAGATGGATGTAGTGTAGTCTTGGAAATGGGTGTACCACAACCATAGTAATGGATGTTACATAACCATGGAAATAAATATAGTGTAACTAGAAAAAAGGGTGTAGGGTGACCATGGAAATGAGTGTGACAAACTATGGAAATGGTGTAGCATAACCATGGAAATGACTGTAGTGTAGTCATGGGATTAAGAATAGCATTAACATGCAAATAGCTGTAGCACAACTATAGTAATGAATGTTGCATAACCATGGAAATAGATGTAGTGTAACCAGAGAAAAGGGTGTAGTGTGACCATAGAAATGATTGTAGCGAACTATGGAAATTGGTGTAGCGTAGCCATGGAAATGAGTGTAGTGTAATCATGTAATTGAGCATAGCATTAACATGCAAATGGAAATGGAAATGGGTGTAGGGTGACTATGGAAATGGGTGTGACAAACTATGGAAATTGTGTAGCGAAACCATGGAAGTGGCTGTAGGGTGACCATGTAAATAATTGTAGTGAACTATGGAAATATGTGTAGTGCAATAACTGAGCATAGCATTAACATGCAAATGGGTGTAGCATAACTATGGAAATGGGTGTAGCGTAACCATGGATAGGGGGGGGAAGTGTAACCATGGAAATGAGTGTAGGATGACCATGAAAATTAGTGTAGCAAACTATGGAAATGGGTGTGGTGTTAAAAATGGAAATGGGTGTAGTGTAACCATGGAATCGTTTTACACTGGTCATACCTAACAGTATTGCTGTTTTTGCAGATGCCCCACGACAGACCACCATCACCGTGAGCCCGCAGAAGGAGCTGAAGGAAGGGGAGAACATCAGCATCTCCTGCCTGACCGACAGTGCTCCAGAGGGACATGTGGTTTTGAGGAAAGTGCTGGACGGTGAAGAGATAGAAGTCGCATCCAGTGAGGGAACGCAAACCTTCTTCACAATCCACTCTGCTGAGCTGTCTGACTCTGGAGACTATGTGTGCGAGGCTGTCAATCAATACGGAAGTCATAGAGCCAGCACCCAGATTAGTGTACAAGGTAAAAATGATGTACCATACTTTCACACCCTCATTCAGTCCACCAGATATAAGTGTTCTAACACCTGTAAACATATACATTAGATTTCTATTTACCTTTTCTATAATGATCATGCTCTGATTATAATTACGAACAAGAACACAGAGCATTGATCATGGTAAGACTGGACTGGGAAACAGTCTATTTTATCTCACATGCAAGAAATGGATGCCTAGTTGTAAGTGAACCGTACTGACCTTCACTTGTCTTGTTATATCTTAACCTACAGCACCTCCCAGAAACACTACAGTGAAGGTGTTACCATCCACATCGGTGCAGGAGGGCCAAAACATCACCATTTGCTGCCACTCGGTCAGCTTCCCCCCACCTGCTATCATTCTCAGGAAGCTGGACAGTGGGATAGATATCTACTCCCCCAATGGCACCTTTACACTGATCAACCTCACACCCAACGACACAGGTCTCTACCAGATCAATGTCACCAACGCCCTGGGCTACGAGACTGAGGTCTTCAGCATTCATGTAATGGGTAAGAGACATTGAAAGAGTTATCTGAATGCACAGTGAGATTTAGGTGGTCTTAAGGCTACGATTACTGATTATTTAAACAGGCAGTTACACTTTTATGGTGAAAAACAGAAGCCATATCGCCCCCTATGCTTCCTGGAGTGTATTGCAGTCTGTCAGAATAAATACTTGCATCCTATTGACTTTCTTGAGCAGCCCTAGTTAAGATGTTTTTTGATGGTTAAGATGGTGTTATTAAAAGTGTTTTAAGTCATTTCTAACTTCTTTATCCTCTTTTTGTTTACTTTTTAGAGAGACTCTCCAGTCCTCCACCCAGTTGGAACATCTTTATTACTCCATTCCTTGGTCTGGGACTGTTGACCTCCGCAGCCGTCGTGCTGGAGTATCTAAGGAGAGCGCGGCTCAAGGGCTTCTACGAGCTGAGCAAGTGCCAACCAGGCACTGTGTAGACTGTGTGGACAAACGCAGACTTTGAGTGAGATTAGACTCTGCTGAACTGAATCAGACTCCACACTGAACTGAATTAGCTCCCTTGCTGAACTGAATCAGACATCAGACTGAAGTGAATCAGAGTCCATGATACACCTTATGAGACTGCTGAACTGATGCAGATTCTACTAAACTGAATCAGACTCCACTGAACTGAGTGAGACTCCATACTGAACTGAATCAGACTGCACTCATGAACTGAGTCAGACTCCATGCTGAATGGAATCAGACTCCATGCTGAACTGAATCAGACTGCACTGAAGTGAATCAGGCTCATCAGTCATACTGAACGAAGTCAGACTCCACTAAACTAAGTCAGACTCGCCTTGAATCAGATTCCACTGAACTGAATCAAACTCCTTGCTGAACTGAATCAGACTCCATGCCAAACTGAATCACACTGCACTGAAGTGAATCGGATTCATCAGTCATACTGAACTGAATCAGACTCCACTAAACTAAGTCAGACTCCACTTAAGTCAGACTCCACTAAACTGAATCAGACGTCATGCTGAACTGAATCAAACGTCATCCTGAATAATTCAGACTGTGCTGAAGTGAATCAGACTCCACATTGAAAAGGTTCAGCCTATTCTTAACTGAATCGCACACCACTGAACTGAGTCAGGCACTAAATGAATCAGATTCTTCTGATCTCAACTGCACTGTCAGTGCCTGCTTCTCCCTTGGTGTGGAGCTGCAAGATTAATGAGGCTCCAGTGGTGGACAGCTGTTGCTGGAGGACAGCTTGGGAGAGATAATGAATGCTGCACAGCACGTGTCCACTTGAGGAGCCATATGTTATTACTACTGTTTGTATATTTCTGTTTGTGAGAGAGCGAGAGAATGAAAGTGTGATTGAGTAAAAGTATGTGAAACAGAGAAAATGATGTACATATTATTTTGCAGAAGATAGTTGTTTCCTAATACAGCTACTTTAGACAGAATTTTCGCACAAGACACAGTACGAGATAGACATGATATACTCACTGTTTTTACTGTAGTTTTTGTTGTGTTTTAGCGAGACCTTCATAGCTCACACATGTAATAGCAGAACTGAAGATTGGTAATATTCATTCCATTCTCATGATTTTTTTAGTTACTGTTCAGAACATCTGTGTTTCCTTTGTTGGTGTATATTCATGTCTTACCTTTCTAAAAGTGAGTGTAAATGGAAAATGTCTTCACTCTAATAAATATTTATTACATGAATATATTACGTTTCAGCCCTGTCATTTCATTATACAGTATATATATATATATATGTATGTATGTATATATATGTGTATATATATATATATATATATATACATACATATATATACCGATCAGGCATATCATTATGACCACCTCCTTGTTTCTACGCTCATTGTCCATTTTATCAGCTCCACTTACTGTATAGGTGCACTTTGTAGTTCTACAATTACAGACTGTCGTCCATCTGTTTCTCTGCATACTTTGTTAGCCCCCTTTTACCCTGTTCTTCAGTGGTCAGGACCCCCATGGACCCTCACAGAGCAGGTACTATTTGGGTGGTGGATCATTCTCAGCACTGCAGTAACACTGATGTGGTGGTGGTGTGTTAGTGTGTGTTGCGCTGGTCTGAGTGGATCAGACACAGCAGTGCTGCTGGAGTTTTTAAACATCTCAGTGTCACTGTTGGACTGAGAATCGTCCAGCAACTAAAAACATCCAGCCAACAGTGTCCTGTGGGAAGCGTCCTGTGACCACTGATGAAGGACTAGAGGATGACCAACACAAACTGTGCAGCAGCAGATGAGCTATCGTCTCTGAATTTACATCTACAAGGTGGACTGACAAGGTAGGAGTGTCTAATAGAGTGGACAGTGAGTGGACACAGTGCTTAAAAACTCCAGCAACACTGCTGCGTCTGTTCCACTCAGACCAGCGCAACACACACCACAATCTTTCTATATAATTCCTGCTAGTGCCAAGCTAACAATGGTGTACATTCATTTCTCCACACTGGGAAAAAATATTAAGCCAGTTCGGTTTAAGTGTTAATATTTGAAACATTTGAAACTGTGACAGACATTTAAGTGGCATAGTCTTTATGCTGTAATTTTACAGTGAATTTGGTAAAAACGAACTGTATTTTATTGGAGTCGTCTGTTAGCCTGTTAAGTTTAAGCATAAAGACTTCATATGCATGCAACTTATAACATACATACATACATCATCTAAACCGCTTATCCTTCTGGGTCGCGGTGGGGTGCTGGAGCCTATCCCAGCTGTCATTGGGCGGAAGGCAGGATACACCCTGGACAGGTCGCCAGTCCATCGCAGGGCAGACAGACAGACATAGACATTCACACACTCACACCTAGGGGCAATTTTAGCATGTCCAATCAGCCTGACTGCATGTCTTTGGACTGTGGGAGGAAACCCACGCAGACACGGGGAGAACAGGCAAACTCCACACAGAAATGACCCTGGCCGCCCCGCCGGGAATCGAACCCAGGCCCTTCTTGCTGTGAGGTGACAGCGCTACCCACTGCACCACCGTGCCGCCGTGCAACTTATAACAGCAAACCATTATTTTTGACTTCACATACGTACAATTTGCAACTACAAATGTGCACGAGATCCTGCTGAGTTTCCTCTCTTTCAGTTCTCCCTTTTGGAGAATCTGCTAAACATGGCTTTTTTTTTGTTTTTAATCAAGCAGTTGATCTTAACTGAGCAATTGTGACAGCCCTGCTGTTCTATGTGCTGTGATATTATGTGATGTGTGGGGAATCTGGCTGGAGTTTACAGAGGTGGGGGAATTTCTGTTGGAGTTTCCTACCAACTCCCTACTATGATACACACTTTCGTTTAACTTTCATTTTCAGCTTCTTTTTCCGGGAATTCGGCTATTAGAGATTTTTGTTTATGAAAGGGAGTAGGGGGCTACTTTTGGTGGCGCCGTTTGGAACAGGAAGTTGATCTTAAACAGCTCAATTGAGGGAAGTCTACAATTAGCGAGCGGCTTTCGTTTTTCCACTGTTTAAATGATCTCCAATAGGGCTGCAAGGAAAAATAAACAGCAGCATAAATTGTGCCTGAAACATATTCATTTACAAGAAGAGCACATTTTTGCTGTGCTGATAGACAATGAGAATTTTGAGATCAGGGATTTTGATTACTTTGATGGCCAGGATATAAATTAAGCACAAAAAAGCCCCCAAAAAGAAATGATAAGTGAAATGACATAATCCCAGTTACTAGATACCAAAGCTGTACTAAAATAGTGTTATTAGTGTTTTCAGTGTTGATAATGTTTCTGTTAAAGATAGTTTAGATGGAAACATTGATGACATCAGGCTGTAAAATGTCCAGCAGGCAAGTGTCCAAAGGCACAGTCTGATAATGTAGCACAAAAAAAAGTGATGATGAGCCGTCTACTGCGTTTATGTCTCCATCTGGATGATTCATGTTTGATGAAGAGAAAGCCAAAGGGAACCTTCAACGTTCTGCCATTTTGAACCAGAGAAGCCATTAAGTTCGGTGATGGGTCTTTCCCATTTTTACCCAATAAATTATTCAAAATGTCACAGCAAAGTACCATTAAATGAAAAACCTCAGCAATCTAACAACATGCAAGCTATTTTCAGAGGTGGGTGGTAGGGATACACATTAAGGGGCTGCACTATAAGAGGCATAGCCTGTTACTATGGTAGTAACTACTCACATTTGCTTTGTTGCCCTGTAGTGCAGCACTGAGCATCCCTCAGCCTCATCAGTTTGAGATTTAAAGCTGCGTTATGTCATATTTTTTGTAGCATTAAACAAAAAGAGATGTATAGTATGTATAGAGTATGTATAAAAGAGAACACACTAAAATATGGTGGGTGTGTGCTCTGCTGCCAGTCACTCTGGTCTCAAATGCAAAATCAACATTATACTGATGAAGATATGATGACAACAGTAGATAATTCACTCACATCCTCGGAAAACACGTCCTTCATCGAGTTTGCAAAAGTCCGCTTGTTGAGGGCTGAAGCACAAATGATGTTACAAAATGTTCTTCCACATGTTGCATGCAGTTACATATTTCCACCAAAGAGGTCTCCAAATCCCCAAATCCTACATAGTGTTGCTTTAAATGGGCCTAAAATAAGAGTTTAACATGTTGTTTGTTGTGTTATGCGGTACCCTGTAGTGCAGCACTGAGCATCCCTCAGCCTCATCAGTTTGAGTTCATGATTTCATATCCTTTTCATGTTATTGTCAACCCATGTTCTCTTCCTGCAATAACCAGCATGCACTGTATAAGGTATACAGTCTATGCATTGTCAGCAGGGCTATTTTGTTTAGGACCAAAAGGATCCCAAAAAGAGAAGAATAGAATCTAACAAACTTCAGATATAATGATTGATGCTGGAGAGCCCGAAACACTCCTTATAGCTTCAGTGTGAGGGGGTGGGGCTAAAGTGCCATAGGCCGAATAGATGGATATATTCTAGCAGATGGTAGGACCAAAAGAAATGATCTAAAATCACTTGAAATAAAACATTTTTACATTAATGTATATTAAAAGTTAAGAACATTTTTGTCTTCTCCTGTAAAGTTTCCTTTTTGGAGATTTTTTTTTGTTGTTTTTTTTTTGGACAATGACAATAATTGACAATGACAGTAATTGAATTAGTTTTTGTGACATCACAAAAACAATGTGCAGCTTAGTTTCTATATGTGTACTGGGGAGTGAACTACATCTTCAAAACAATGTTTACATACTATTGCAAACTATTTTCTTCTTCCTGTTTAATATGTTAATATTTAAGAGGGCATTATTTTCTCTAATGGATTAGAATGAATGAGATTTCTTACAATAAGCATGTAGGAAGCAACAGGTGCTTCACTGCTCTCCTCTCTTTCATCGCTGCTGAAGAAGCGCAGTGCCTATAAATGCACACACAGATCACACCTTTTTCCTCTCTCTCTATTTTAGACTCAGCACACAAATGAGGGTAAAAAGTGTTCTAACAAGCCCGAATCCAGTTCCTCACTCCTTTTTTTAGTGTCTATTGATTGCTCGTCCCGATGGTGCTCTAACAGGCTGTTGTCATGGTGATGGGCTGGCTCTCCTGCCCCTGGAGAGAGGGAGCGGGTCGTTTTTTCTGCCACTGCAGCTGAGGGAGGAGATGAGGTGCTGCAGTGGAGGTGTAAATGAGAGTGTATTCTTGGGCTTTTATCACACACACACACACACACACACACACACACACACACACACACACCATATCTGAGAGCAGTGTGTGTATTATTGAAGCAACACTCATTTCCCTCTCTCTCTCTCTCTCTCTCTCTCTCTCACTCACTTTCTCTCTATCTATCTTTTCCTCTATCTCACACTTCCAGCTATATTTAGTTACAGTGTTGACAAATCTTTGTCAAAATGACCTTTATTGGTGATACTGTGAGGTTCAGGGTGTTGACCCCCCCCCCTTTTTCTTTCCTCTCTAAATCATTTTTAAGAATGTGGGACCACTGAAATAAACACTACATCTATCTATCTATCTATCTATCTATCTATCTATCTATCTATCTATCTGTCTGTCTGTCTGTCTGTCTGTCTGTCTGTCTTTCTATCTGTCTCTCTGTCTGTCTGTCTGCCTGTCTATCTGTCTCTATCTATCTATCTATCTATCTATCTATCTATCTATCTATCTATCTATCTATCTATCTATCTGTCTGTCTGTCTGTCTGCCTGTCTGTCTATCTATCTATCTCTCTCTCTCTCTCTCTCTCTCTCTCTCTCTCTCTCTCTCTCTCTCTCTCTCTCTCTCTCACTCTCTCTCTCTCACTCTCTCTCTCTTACTCAGTCTCATTTCGTAATTGTCCATGCCCACTGTGTCTGGACTTTGTCTCAGTCCTGCTGGAGGCTCTGAAGGACATTGTGTGCTTTAGCTAAGATGTGAGTGTGTCCAGGGCTCTCAGGCTTTTCAGCTTCACTATCACATTAGACAAGGTCAAGCCATCCAGAGCCGTTTATCCTCCCCGGCACATTTCCTCAGCATTAGACTGAGTGTTCCAGAGCACTGCTGAACTGGACTGTTGCACAATGGCACAGTCTGCGATTTAAATCTAAAGCAGAGTTTGTGGTGGACGCCGTAAGCGGCCGGGTCGTTGCTCTCTAGCTGTTGTGCGTGGGGGGAGAACATGTTGTGCTGTGCCTTTCCGCCCTAAATCACTCAAATGAATGAGAAAC